GAAGTTCCCTTCATGAGCACCAGAAGGTCCCTGTGTTTCTTCTCAGGGAGGCCCTGCTTGTGGGTCTCCCCTGAGGTGGGACTCCAGCCCTCCCTCTCAGCTCCAGTTCCTCATCACAACCTGAGACTCTGTTACTTACTTTCTCTCTCCTGTTCATCCGCTACCCTGACTAGACAGGAAGCTCAAGAGGAGAGCAGTGCACACACTCACACCCGTGCACTCACAGCCCCATGCTCACACTCCCTCCCCGTGCACACGGCCACTGGCCCAGCCCACAGAAGCTGCTCATCAGCCTTCCTTGTATGAGTGAACACCATGTTCTAGGGCTGGATGTCACTTGGAGTCTCTAGCCAGGATGCACCCTTGATGACTCGCCTTGGGCTGGTGTGGGGCAGCAGCTGCTGGGATAGACCAGGGAGGATGTGAGCCAGAGCTCAATCCCGTGGAGACAAGCTCCCCAGCAACAGAGCGGTCAGCCGCCCTGCCCACACACAGGCTGTTGGCATCTAGGCCCTGGCTGCCCGCCCACTGCCAGCCCAGGCTCGCTTGAGTGCTTGCTTGCTTGCTTGCTTGCTTGGCCAGATGTCCATTAGGCATTGGGCAGAACTGTCCAGCCTGCGGCAGAGCCCATGGGCTGTGAGAGTCCCCCCTCCCCTCACCCCCTCACCCAGGACAAGGTCACCACACACTAAGCCAGGGAGATGGGACAGAAAAGGTGGACTCCTGGACCAGCACACCAGGACACATCAGCCTAGGAGGAGCCGCAGCCGTTGGCCAGCACCAGGGGCCCTGCTGGGGTGGCCACTGAAGAACCACAGCACTGGCAAACAGGAGCTCACCTCGCGGCAGTGCAGAAGGCCTGGGGCAGCTCCTCACTGGTCAGGCAGAGGGAGATGGTCCCACTTCATGAGGCTGCCCGGTGCTAAATGGAGATGATCCTGTAGAGTAGCACCCAGGACAGGGAAGTGCCCAGGAAGAGCAGGGAGATGCACGGTGACCCCCATCCCAGCTTAGAAGCCCCTGCTTCCTTGGTTTCCTGCAGACCCTCCCATGGGGGAGGACTCCCAGCTCAGACCTGCTGACACACCACCCCTGCCTCCTCCCGGCGTCTAATCACAGAGATAAGATCTGCTTAAGCCAGTCACTCTCACGCGGGGCAGCTCTGTCCCCCAGGGGACATCTGTAATGTCTGGAGATATTTTGATTGATTGGTATGATGGGAGCAGGGACTATTGGCATCTAATGGGTAGAGGCTTCCAAGAGTGCACAGGACAGGCTTCCCACCCCTACAGAGAATTCTTTCTCCCTGGATGATGAGAGTACTGAGGTTAAGACACCATGATTTGGTTAACAAGTGTTCTTTCTTAAACGGCAAATATTTCTGATATGTTAGCCATTCACACCTTAGTATGAAATAGTGCCAACAAATGAATTTTCTCCCTAAAGCTCCTAAGGATACCTAAGCCAAGGGAGGAGAGCTTTCACAGGCAAGGAGAAGGAGTCTGGGGTGTTGGGAAGGAGAGCAACTCCCCCCACTCCAGGAAAGGCTTTGGGTGGTGAGTATCTGCCAAATGGCGACAGGATAGCTCCTCACCGGAGTTCAACAAAGTAACCCTAGGTTTTTCCACGTTGCTATTTTCTAGCCTGATGACAACGTCTACCTTTATACCATCACAGAACAAGGAATCTCTGCTTCTGCTTCCCAGCTCACTGGCTTACTCTAAGTGCATCACTAGGCCAGCTGTGAGCCTCTCTGTCCCTCCATCCCTCAGCCTGTACATGGTGGGGTGATGCTGCTAAAGATGTCACGGGAGTGTAATGACAGTGCACAGCACCTAGAACAATTCCTGGCATGAGTAAGCGTTACATAAGCTTCAAAGTAAAAATAAATGAATCGATTCCAGGGCCGGCTCTGAGTGATCACATTTCCAACATGTACCCCCTTCTTCGACACCAGGGCTGTGGATCCTGGGTGTTGGGAGACACACAGTAAAGGAAGGGCTGAGAGGACACCAGAGGCACCTAGTGTCCCCAGAGCCCGCCCCTACCCCAGCAGAGGCCGCTGCAGCCTTCCTTCTGAGAGAGCTGGGGCACAGGCAGCAGCCCTGGTCTCACCCAGACCCCAGGCCTAAAGGTGCATAGAGCCCCTATTCAGGCCCTTCCCACTCCGAGGAGCAGGAAGTTTGCTCAGAGACCTGAGACGGAGGGGGAAATTTTATAAAACCCCACTGTGGGATTCAGGAGCACCGCCCCACCCCTCTCCTCTCCCTCTGCCTGTCCTCCAAGTCCCCATGGCTCAGCACTGTGTCTTACTCTCTGGACAGCTGAGGCCTGGACCGCAGGACCCCAGCCGGCAATACAGGCCCAGCTTCAAACAGCAGCTGGTATGATGCTCATTGCCAGAGCCTGGGGTGGGCTCCCTGGGCCAGGGAGCTGGGCCCATCAGGCACTCGGGGCTGGCACAAGCCCAGGGCACAGCCCCCAGCCCCCAGCCCCCATGGGGCTGCCAGTGTGCCTGGCAAGGCGGCTTTCAGAGGCTGGGGCCACTTCGCCAAGCATCTTTAGAGACGGCCCAGAGCGTATGATCTGGTCCCTGCTCCACTGACCCTTCCAGGCCGCCTACTCTACCCAGAGTGGACACAGGACAAGCAGGGCCTGGACAACCTCTTGCCTCCTCCTGGTCTTGGCGCCTTGCTCACTGCTACCTCAGGCCCTCTCAGCCCATGTGCAGGCCAGGCCCTGGTGTGAGGCTGACTGGACCGCCATTCTGGTAGCAACCTTGGCTGGACTCCCAGCTGATGAGCCCACATTTGAGCTGTTTTTCTCCTCGTGCAGTCATGGCCACCCCCAGCCCTTCTCTGCCTCCTCCCCACCTGACCCCCACAGAGAGACACCAAGAGCAGGAAATAAAGCCAGGAAAGGAGGCAGCTCCCCCTTTCATGAGCTCCATCCCTCCACGACCCAGCCCAGTGGAGTCAGGAGCAGCGTGGACTCATACTCTACCCAACAAGTGTGGCTGCCTGGCTGGCTTCTCCCAACATGGCTGCTGGGCCAGGAGAGCTGCCCAGTGCTGCCCTCATGCAGCCAGCCATGGGCACCCCCAGGGGTGCAGTCCTGACTCCAGGCAGCCAGCCATCAGCGCAGGTGGAGCCGAGACACAGCTGGTGTGTGCTCACACACAGTCATGCTCAGGTACTCATATGTGCATGCACACGCATGCTCTCCTGAGCACGCACAAGATGCACGTGTATACACACACGCACACACACCTGCACACATTCACTGCCCCAGCTCCCAAGGACTCCGGTTCACTCCACCACGTTCTGCCCACACTCTACACAGCAACACGCAGATGTGCACGGTTCTCACACAGGTCTGTACGGCTGGGTACACACCCCTGGGGCACATGTGTAGTCTGACATACCTACGGTCCCACTCAGAGACATGCTAGGGCACCCAGGAGGAGACACACCCACAGCCACCCACGAAATGAGAAACCCTGGGGTCCCGTCACTGGAGTCTGAGGTCCCTGTTCAGACACAAAACTGTTACCACCAGGGTCACCCCAACCCCTGGAGGAGGGAGGGAAGGTGCTTCCTGCCTTCAGGGAAGGGCGCTGGGAATCCTGGGGAGACAAGGGCAGGAGAGCCAACCAATTTGCCCAGCTCAGCAGGACCCTGCAGCTCCACGGACTCATTAATTTTTCAGAGGCACCAAAAGTGCAGATTGAAGTTGCCAATCCGGTCATGGCGGGTCCTGCTTTAAATTATTCACCAGACCAGCAGAGCGGGAGAGACCTGGCCCCAGGCCCCAGGCCCCAGGCCCCAGGTTCCAGCTTCAGGGGCCACTCGCCCTGCCTGGGCTTGGCACCAGCTCTGTGGCTTCGGAGAGGGCAGCCCCCTGGGCCCCTACGTCCTCCTTGGCAGCCCAGGCTTTCAAGCTGGGTGTGAGCACTGGTCTGTGTCCCCGGTTTGGGCCCCGGCCCTGAGGCTGTACCACTGCCCCCACCCCAGGGTTCACTGTCCGGGCTCTGGTGGCCCACCCCATCCACCCGCCGCCCCGCCCCCAGGCTCGGTGGACTCCGCCCCCTACCCTGCTCCTCTGCCCCAGCCTGCGATGGGAAAGCCCGCTGGACCAAAGGGAGGGCCCCCCACTCCAAACGTTTCACCGCGCCGCCTCAGCCCGGACTCCAGGGCCCGCGCTGGGAGCTGGACAGCGGCAGGGGCAGTTGGGAGGCCACTGCGCAGTGCCAGCGAGCACCTGACCGCAGCGGCTCCTTCCGCCCTCCACCTGCTCCATCCGCGCGCGCGCATTGGGCGTCCGGGGAGCCTATGCCGGAACCTGCACCCTTGCTTCCTGCACTGCGGTTCTTAAAGTTCAGTCCAGGCACCCCAGGGCCCAAGAACCTTCCAGAAGGCCCTCAAGGTCAAAGCTGTTTTCACAGCAATACCGAGGCCTGGTCTCTGTCCAGCCTGCTCTCCCTCCTACAGTGGGGTATTCGGGGCCACGTGCTGTGTGATCTTGTGCTTCATGCATTTCTGATTTTATTTCCTGGGCACAAAACCCATGGCTACGACCCCAGTGGTGTTTGACACTGAGGGTTTGAGAACCGGCACCCGGAGTGTGATGAAGGGCTCAGCTGTCCCACCCAGCCCTCCCCTCCCGACTGGGGCACATCTTCCCGCTATCAGGCCCCAGGTGTGGCCAGAGCCCACCCTTCCCCCAGAAGCCCCTCCGGAACAGCCCAGAGACCCTGGCTTCTGCCCACCCCCATCTCTGCAGGGTACTGGTGGTAGGGGAGCTCCAACCCGGAGGTCAGCGGGAAAATCCTGGGAGAAGTGCTGTGTGTGCTGCCCCTGCGTGGACACTGGGAGCTACTGCATGTCCTCACCAGCTAGGACCCAATTTCTCCTCCGCCCCCGCGGACTCCACTTTGAGAAAGGCACCAGGGGCGCAGCGAGGTACGGATCCCTACCAGGCAACAGAGTAGGAGCCTGTACCTTCCTGGGCCTGGCTTTATTACTCCATCCCCAAAGGGGCTCGAGGCGCCCAGATCCTCCTGAGATACCCCACCCTCCACCGCTGTGGGGACCTCCGTCTGCTTCAGATTACGCTGGGCACCAGGAAACGCTTCCACTTCTGTCCTCATGCCATCTTGGGAGTCCATGGGCCTGGAAGTATCTGTGCCCCCACACCAGAAACACGCCGACCAGAGGGGCGGGCAGTGTGACCCCAAGGGCAGCCCTCTGGTGGGCAGGACAGGTTGACATTGCTCTGCCCATGACATCTCGATGGTCAGAATTTGCTGGGACCAGAGAGTGAGTAAGGGTCCCCTCAGGGACCACACAGGGGGCTTCCTTGGACCCCAGCTGGTTTCACTCTTACCTTGTCTCAGGTTGGCAAGTTTCTCTGGCTTGACCCTAATTCTAACTGGGCCAAAATGTGTCAGAACAGCTTCCCGGGGCACAGCCTGTAGGATCACACCAGTTTCCTCTCACCAGCAATGGTGGCTCAAGGAGGCCCAGGACTGCCAGGGCTCCGGAGAGCTGCAGGAGGCCCCCAGTTTCCTTGGGTAGGGCCACCAGATAAAATACATAGTCCACTTTGAATCTCAGGTAAGCGACAAATACTTTTTCAGTGCAAATATCGTATGGGACATATTTACATTGAAAAGTTATCCACCATTTATCTGAAATCCAAATTTGACTGGGGATTCTGTGTCTGTGTTTGCTGACTCAAGCTGCCTTCCTTGGAGGCCTCTGTGGGTCAGCTCCGACCCTTCCTGGCTACCAGCACGACCCTGGGAAGGGCGTCCTGACCCACTTTCTGCCTGGCCAATTCAGCTGTCCTTTTCCTGGTCCTTTCTCTGCGTGCAGCCCATCCCCACTCCAAGAGGCCCGTCCCCACTTTGGGACTGGGTGGGGAGACACCAGCAGCCCCTCCATGGGCTTAACCCTGAACCACGTGCACCCTCCTCTCCTGGCTGGCCCCTTGTTTGCCTGCACAACTCCCATCCCCACCTACTGTGGTGAGCTGGTTATGCTCCCAAAGACTTCAGGCCCAACCCTGGAACCTGTGACATGTGGCAAGAAAGCGTTTTGCAGAAGTGACTGAATCAAGGGTCTTGAGATGAGATTATCTGGGATTGGTCAGGTGGGCCCTCGGTGCCCTCATATCTGTCCTTGTAGGAGGGAGGCAGAGGAGACTTGACCCAGAGAACAGGAGGCCATGGGACCATGCAGACAGATTAGGGGCATGCGGTCACAGGCCAAGGAAGCTTAGCAACCACCAGAAGCTGCAGGAGACATGGGATGGACCCTTCCCGAGAGCCAGTGCAGGGCGCGGGCCTGCCCACACTGGATCTAGTCCCAGTGGTGCTGACTGTGGACTGAGAGTTCATTGCTACTGTGTTAAGCTGCCAGCTTGAGGTCCATTTGCTGCCGCAGCCCCAGGGGTCTCACACTAGGGTGCCCTGCGATTGGCCCAGTGCTCACCCTGGAGGGGAGCCTGCACCCTGCAGCCCAGTTCCCGCTGAAGGCAGACAAGTCTGCACTGTGCACACTGTCAGGGAATCTGCTCACCCCCACCCTGAGCTCGGTCTGCAGCACCAACACCTGGCACAGTCTGGCTGTGTTCTGGGAGCAGAAGTGGCTGAGATGGGAGTGGTCCTGCTGCTCCACCCCCTACTCCCACCCCCACACCCTGTGCTCGCTGACCAAGGTCAGGGCTTGCTCTGGGGTTCCTGGGGCTGGAGTTCCTGGGTGTGCCAAGGGCCCCGATGCGAAGCAGGATGGATAGGAAGCTGTCTCCAGCCACAAGTGACCGGCTGGCAAGGACAGTAAGACAGGGCTTCCAAGGGCGTGGGAGCTGGAAAATCCGGGTTTTCTGTGTGTGTGTGTGTGTGTGTGTGTGCGCGCGTGTGTGAGACAATCACGCGTGGGGGAGGAGCCCTCAGCCCATCTGTCCTTGGAGAGAGCCCAAGAACACTCAACCCCCTTCTGCGGTCCGAAGTGGCTTTGTCCTGGAAGCCCCCACAGGGGGAACGCCAAAGCCCCCTCACCAGCTGGACTCGGGATCCAGCGCCCCACGGCCCACCCCAGGTAGCCCGGGAGGACACTGGTCAAGGCGCCGGCAGGGCTGGTGGACCCCGGGCGAGACGCCGAGCGGGGAGAGGCCACCAGCATGGTCGGGGACCTGGAAGGGGCCCTAACAAGCACCCTCCTGCAGGACAGGCCGCCCCGCCCCACCCCACCCCCAGCAGCAGGCGCACACGGCTCGGGGTCGCTCAGTTTATTGGTAAAACGGGCACTGAGCGTGGTGAAGGCTGGACGCGGAAGCCGGGGCGGCAGGGGCGCTTTTCCTCTTAAAGAACTTCCACTGGACCTTGATGGCGAGCATCCAGTCGCTGACGGAGAGCCTCTTACAAGCGGAGGTGCAGACATGCGCCTGGAGGGGGGCGGGCTCCGGGGGCCGCGGCCCGGGGGGTGGGCCGGGGGCTGGAGGACTGGCCCAAG